GTTGTACACGCAGTCACAGGCAGACAATCACACACACAATCACAGGAAGACTGTCACACTGTCACACACACACACAGTCACACATACAATCACAGGCAGGCAGTCACACACAAACACACTGTCACAGACAGTCACACATACCATCACAGGCAGTCACACACACACAGTTACAAGCAGTCAGTCACACACACAGTCACAGGCAGACACAATCACAGTTACACACAGCACACACTCTCTCTCACTTACTGGAGGAGGAGTGGAGTCACTGACGTTCCTGGTTTATAGCAGTTGTTGGAGGAAGCAGGTACTCCTTCCTGCTTCACTTCTGTGTGCAGCAGTAAGAGCAGCGAGTGTAGGATACCTGTAGCTCTTCCCCCGCATCCAGTTTGGCCCACCCCCACTGTCGGTTTGGATCCGCCCCAACTCTCCTCGAAGTTCTCCTGCTCCCGGCTCCTGCGTGTGAGCTGTGTCGGCTGCCCGGCGCCCCAACTGCTATATCGCCTGGGCAGCCACACAGGTCACACCTCCCCAAGGACAGCTCTGGTGGCCCCGGCCTACCTAGTGGTACCCGGGGCGGACTGCCCCCCCCATCTCCCTACCCACCCCTTAGTACGTCACATTGTAAAGTCATGATTTTATAAACGACACAGAGGCGAGTATTATGCTTTCTCTTTCTTTATTTCCCCCCAGCAGCAAAGAGAAAATATATAAACTTGAATGAAATACGAATAAAGAATCAAATATAACAAATATGCCTAGGAACAGGGCAGCCAATCAGGATACAGGAACAGTCTATAAAAGGTCTGAACTAGCCATAAACTTCCTCTTCATCTTCCTGTAAGACCGAAAACCAGAATCTAGCCCGAAACTTCAAAAAACAGGAACAACGCCACAGAGGAAAACTTCCATGTCGAAAATCAGGCTGTGGAGAAACAAAATATATGGTAAAATCCAAACTCTGAACCCATCATAATATCAGTTTAACTGAAGGCCATAGGAATACATCATAGTTATAATGCTATACAAGTATCATACAACGATCTCTGTATAAAACATCACATAAGACACTTACCGCCACTTACCGTGCAGATAACCAAATCATAATAACCAAGTAGTTACAGATAACCCACCGGGAGGGTGGGTGGGAATAATACTCGCCTCCGTGTCATTATTAAAATCATGACTTTACGTCATGTTAATAGTAAAATCTTGAAATTTTATTGATGACATGTGGGCTCCTATTATGCTAGTTCAAAGCTGAGCCACCACCTGAGAAGAAAAATGGTCAAACGGACAGAAACAAAAAATCCCGAAACGTAGATTCATGGGACCAATCCGCAGATCTCAGAATATCCAACCAATCCTTGATGCCTTAGATGCCATGGCACCCCACACAGAATGAGCTACGAACATTGAGGTATCAATCCCTGTCACGGATAGGAGGTCCCATGCCCAGCTGGCTAGAGTGGGCGTAGAGACTGGAAGATGCGGTGCATGAAACGATACAAACAATTAATGCAAGTCGGGTGATTTCAATATCCATGTACGATCCAGGTGAGATCGCAAACATGCAACCGGGCATAGATTACGCCTGACAGAGTATTCGGGTAGGAGATTGATTTCATAGCTTATTTAGTCCTACGAGACATGTTGAATGAAACTCCTTCTGGGGTAAAGGATTTCGCAGTCCAATACAAGACACTAACATCTGATATCCTCTTACAGGAGAACAAACAGAGAAGCATAAGCAGTTTCCAAGACAGGGACAATTCCTCATTCAGTAGCCAGGAATCCAAGAAGGGAAACACCACACACTCACTAACAAACACACACTAACAGACAGACTAGCACTCACTAACAGACACACACTAACACTTACAGACACACTAACACTTACAGACACACTAACACTCACTAACAGACACACTAGAATTCACTAACAGACACACACTAACATTCACTAACAGACACACACTAACACTTAAAGACACTAACAGACACACACTAACACTCACCATTATGCACAAACACTAACACACTCACAATTTAAAAGAAAATAAGTTTAAATCCACCCAGCCTCCTACCTTTGGGAGTGCTGGAGTGGATTTTTCCCTGTGGTTCAGTGGGGCTGGCTGCAGCTTGGCGGGCAGGCTGGCAATCGGGAGGTTAGGCAGGCAGGTGAGCGCTGGAGGCTGGCGGCGAGGGAGCTCTGATCCTCCTGATCAGCACCCTCGCATGCCTTTTAGTGATGCCAGAGTGACTTCATATTCTGGCTCCGGCATCACTGCAGTGTATGAGAGGGAGCCGGGAAGAGCTCAGGGGAGAGTGCAGTGAAGAGCTCAGGGGAGAGTGATCCCTTGCGCTCCCCACAATATCAGCACATGCTAGCCTGGGGGGCCATATGGTGGCCAACCAGCCAGCTCCTGAGCCCCCCAGGACAAGAGGCTGCCAGGGCGATTGGGGGGGGGGCGGCTTTTTTTGCTGTTCTTCACGTCTGGTGTGCACAGAATATCCATCAAGGCCGACAACAATTTTAGAAAATGTATGTTTCTGTCACATCTGGCAACCATGAACCTTTCAATGACTATTAAATGTCAAATATGAACCAGTTTAGTAGCTCTTCTCTGAACTCTCTCTAAAGTATCAATATCCTTCTGAAGATACGGTCCCAGTACTGCGTACAAGACTCCAAGTGAGGTCTCACCAGTGTTCTGTACAATGGCATGAGCACTTCCTTCTTTCTACTGCTAATACCTCTCCCTATACAACCAAGCATTCTGCTAGCATTTCCTGCTGCTCGATTACATTGTCTGCCTACCTTTAAGTCATCAGAAATAATCACCCCTAAATCCCTTTCCTCAGATGTTGAGATTAGGATTCTATCAAATATTCTGTACTCTGCCTTTGGGTTTCTACGTCCAAGATGCATTATTTTGCACTTATCCACATTAAATGTCAGTTGCCACAACTCTGACCATTTTTCTAGTTTACCTAAATCATTTGCCATTTGACTTATCCCTCCTGGAACATGAACCCTGTTACATATCTTAGTATCATCAGCAAAAAGACATACCTTACCATCAAGACCTTCTGCAATATCACTAATAAAAATATTAAAGAGAATGGGTCCAAGTATGACAAGCCCAAGCTTCGAATATACTCCATTGACTACAACCTTCTGTTGCCTGTCACTCAGCCATTGCCTTACCCATTCAACAATATTTGAATCCAAACTTAAAGATTGCAGTTTATTGATAAGCCTTCTATGTGCAACAGTGTCAAAAGCCTTACTGAAATCTAGGTAAGCAATGTCTACTGCGCCACCCTGATCTATTATTTTAGTTACCCAATCAAAAAAAAATCAATAAGATTAGTTTGGCATGATCTCCCTGAAGTAAACCCATGTTGTCTCTGACCTTGAAATCCATGTGATGTTAGATGTTCAACAATCCTATCCTTTAACATGGTTTCCATCACTTTCCCCACTACTGAAGTAAGGCTTACTGGCCTATAGCTGCCCGACTCCTCCCTATTACCTTTCTTGTAAATGGGCACAACATTCGCTAACTTCCAATCTTCTGGGACTACTCCTGTTAACTATGATTGGTTAAATATATCTGTTAATGGTTTTGCTAGTACACCACTAAGCTCTTTTAATAGCTTTGGGTGTATTCCATCAGGTCCCATTGACTTATTTGTCTTTACTTTTGACATTTGAAATAGAACCTCTTCCTCTGTAAACTCACGTGTAATAAATGACCCAGGTTTTTCTTGAGGATCATTCTTATGGATTTCTGGGCGTTTGAAAATTTAGTAAAACATTTATTATTATTATTATTATATTTATATAGCGCCAACAAATTCCGTAGCGATTTACAATGGGCCCTGCTCAATTAGCTTAAATGCTACAGGGAGTGAAGTAAAGTGGCACAAAAGGTAAGGCAAGTATTAGGGAAGTAGTTTGGTAGACTAGTATTCACTGAAGACTTAGTGTGGGGGGGTTTTTGGAGCCATTTACAAACAATAAATAAATAATAATTGCTTCCTGCTTCTGTCCAGATTAACAAACCATATGACTAACCTCGTATCGTCCTTTGCTCTCTGCTTTTGATGATCTCGAGTTGTGACCTGTGAGGAATGTAGATCATTGCCGTCTGCACAGTTAGCTCTGATGTTGTACAAGCATGCATGCACCACCCGCTGCTAGACTATGTTCCCAGTGTCAACTCCAGTCTAACAGCTTCATAAATACAACTAACCTGACAGAATACTACTTTACAGGAATGGTAGTAGATACCTGGAATAGCCTTCCAGTGGGAGCAGTAACCGTGATATAGAAAGGGTAGTAGATACCTGGAATAGCCTTCCAGTGGGAGCAGTAACAGCGATATAGAAAGGGTAGTAGATACCTGGAATAGCTTTCCAGTGGGAGCAGTAACAATGATATAGAAAGCGTAGTAGATACCTGGAATAGCCTTCCAGTGGGAGCAGTAACAGCGATATAGAAAGGATAGTAGATACCTGGAATAGCCTTCCAGTGGGAGCAGTAACAGCGATATAGAAAGGATAGTAGATACCTGGAATAGCCTTCCAGGGGGAGCAGTAACAGTGATATAGAAAGGGTAGTAGATACCTGGAATAGCCTTCCAGTGGGAGCAATAAAGGGTAACAGTGATATAGAAAGGATAGTAGATACCTGGAATAGCCTTCCAGTGGGAGCAGTAACAGTGATATAGAAAGGGTAGTAGATACCTGGAATAGCCTCCCAGTGGGAGCAGTAACAGTGATATAGAAAGGGTAGTATATACCTGGAATAGCCTTCCAGTGGGAGCAGTAACAGTGATACAGAAAGGGTAGTAGATACCTAGAATAGCCTTCCAGTGGCAGCAGTAACAGTGATATAGAAAGGGTAGTAGATACCTGGAATAGCCTTCCAGTAGGAGCAGTAACAGTGATATAGAAAGGGTAGTAGATACCTGGAATAGCCTTCCAGTGAGAACAGTAACAGTGATATAGAAAGGGTAGTAGATACCTGGAATAGCCTTCCAGTGGGAGCAGTAACAGTGATATAGAAAGGGTAGTAGATACACGGAATAGCCTTCCAGTGGGAGCAGTAACAGTGATATAGAAAGGGTAGTTGATACCTGGAATAGCCTTCCAGTGGGAGCAGGAACAGTGATATAGAAAGGGTAGTAGATACCAGGAATAGTCTTCCAGTGGAAGCAGTAATGGCTAACAGTGATATAGAAAGGGTAGTAGATAGGGATGTGCATGGGCAAAAAATTAGGTTCGGTTCAGCACTTCCAAAATTCGGGACTTCTGTAATTCCCTAACCCTAACCCTACCCCTAACTCTAACCCTATCCCATTTGTTATGGCAATATAAAGGTAATGCATTACAAATTATAAAAATAAATAATTAAGACAAAACAAATTGTATCTTTAAAGTTCCAAAAATTGCAGCAATGCACAGACACACCCCTCTCAGATCAGGAAGTGACTAAGCCAATAGGGTGTTCTCATGCGGTTCTATAAGTTCATTTCTAACCCAGAAAGTTCTGTCCAATATGAGTTTATAGGATATGATGTTTAGCCCACGCTGCAGTCCCAATCATCACATTATTTCAATAAACGAGGCCACTGATCCAGAGGATAATCTGAGACTGATTTTGATTTTGTAAATTGCTGCCATTATAAGCCACGCAATGACGCAAAGTTATCAAGATAGTTAGAAAGAACGTTAAACGGATGTAGATAACGTCTGAGATGGGATCCTTTTGGCTGAGCTCCGCAGTTCAACCGCAGCCTTGAACTGTATAAAAATCAATAAAGTTTAGCCAGCGTTTAGTGAGTCGGCTAAAGTTAATATTTTTGGTCACGCCCACTTATTGCAATTCCCAGCATTTCTGTTCAAATTATTTTATGTGACTATTGCACAGCACAATTTGCACAATTCAAGTTTTAGTTTTTTCCCAAAAGAAATTGAGGAACTATAATAGCAGTTAGCAAACTATCTGTGAAAATAAAAAAATTAAAAGATTAAAAGTCTGCGCAAAATCCCACTGATATCTTCACACACTAAGATTCGCATATCTTCCCACCGTCTCCCAGAAACCACTGCTGTGATTATATTGCGCCTCGGCGGCAATTCTTCTAAACATCTTCTCAACGGCAACAAAGAAGTGGCATGCGTTTTATTGCTCATCGTTTTACAACCTTTTTATGGCTATTTTATATTTTATCCTCCACAATTTTATTATACAAATGAAGCAAGTTGACAGAAACTGAATATCGGAGCAGGTGTTGCGTGTTTTCCCCATGCGGGGAGACAAGTAGCAATTGAGATTCTGCTTCTCAGCTGTTGTGTATCTCACTGGAAATCTGCTCACAGCCCTCCGTTCCTGGTCACGCTGTACATTTAGATTTTAGCCATGATGACACCCTGGGCTCCTATAAATCTAGACTTTTCCATACAGCGCAGTCAGTTGTCAGAGTATTTGACGCCTGTGATGTCACCTATACAACCGACCTGGTGGCACGACTGTTGGAATTACAATAAGCGTGGTGATAGACATTTCTTTTCCCATGCGCCTCGCGGGGGATTGTGCTTTTATTTCAGCATTTCTACTTCGCTTTCATCAAATTCTACGTGCTCTCATACACACGGCTGCTATTATAGGTTTTTTTATCTTCTGGCAAAATGTGAAAAAAGTTTCCAAAATTTACTGGGACGATCTGAGGCCTATTCACTAATCAGTGAGCTGTGATGAGAAAATGTAGGTCGAAATACACTCCCCATATATCGGAGAACAGAAATAACTAAAAAAACGAATAATTTACCTGATTTCTGTGGATGGTGTTTATTAAATGAGTTTAGTTATTACTGTCTTTTCAAATGTATCTATTAGACAGACAATCAGAAAGACAGACAAATCGACAGACAGACAGACAGATAGACAGACAGACAGACAGACAGACAGACAGATAGACAGACAGACAGATAGATAGACAGACAGACAGACAGAGAGACAGATAGATAGACAGTGTGTGCTCATTCTGTGCAAGATAAAAACAACATTGCACAATAAATATAATAAAAAGTTACCTACCTATTGTATTATAAAGTCGAATCGTATACCATAAGCTACTTAAGTTAATTTTATCTACTGTCTCCTAGTTATTATTATTGGCATATATGTACCGCCAACTCATTCCGCAGCGCTTTCACTATTATAAGGAGGAATTTAGCAATAAATGAGCCAATTACAAAATGTTACAGGAATAATTGGTTGATGCAGACCCTACACAAACGAGTTTACAGTCTGGACGATTGCAGTAGAGTGCACATGTGCAGCAGGGGGTTCTGGGATTTGAAGTTCTGAGCGCATCACTGTTTTTTTTATTTATAATTAGAAGAGAGAGTAACTACTCTGATAGTAACACGGCTTCTGTAGGTTGTGTATGATGCACTCTGTGATAGCTCGGGCATGCAGTGACTGCTCTGAGCATTGGGTGGGCTTCTTATTTTACCAGGAGATATGTAGGTATATGCAACCACATTAAGCCCCCCACCCCCTCCCCCTTGCTCTTACCCACCCATTGCAGTTTCAGGCCAGTCCATAATGACAGAAACAGGACACCAACACTGAAACAGCACCAACACTGAAACCTGCTCTGCATGTTCATACTGATCAAACTCCATTCTCTTCTCCCTGCCTGGATGTTGCAAGGTGAAGAGATCTTCATATCTGTCAGATATGCCCAATGCCCTTTCTCAGCATTCCTAGGGATAGGACTCTGATTGGTTAGATCTTTGTGTCCCCTGGAGTGGGTGTGGAAAGCATAATAAAGAAATAAATCATATTTGCCTGTTTTTTTCATCCTACAGAATGAGGCAACTGTCCCATTCAATGCTAAAGCTTTTAAATGAGACAATTGTCTCAAAGTGATGTTTGTCCCTTTAAGGTCAGTCAGAGGGAGAATTTAACTTGATGTTTGTGTCTATCAAAGCCTTCAGTGATAGCTTTATTGACAGGTGTAAATAGCACAGGATAGCAGATCACTAGTGATCTAACAGTGATTAGTGATCTATTCTCTTTGTGTCGCTGCATTACAATGTATGATTTGATATGATATACATGCGCATTCATGCTGATAGTTTGAACAGGTTTAAAACCAATGTTGATCACCATCAGCCTCTTCAGAGAATGTTTGAATTTAGATTCCTCATTTGGATGGTCAAAGACTCTTATGATCGTTCAGAGAAATTTTCATTTTATGAGTTTGCCTTGGAAAACACGGCCTGAGGGTGATAGTCAGTAAGTGGATTTTTGAGCACTTCTCGTTAGTAATTTAAGCCAAATGCTCAAAAATGAGCTGGCTCTGAGAGTTGTAAGATCATTTCATGTCGGTCGAACACGAGATTCTGGATCACCCACAGAGAACTTGGAACTAGTCTTGTGTTCGGTGAGAAATTTCAGTTCTGCCAAATCATGTATTCCGAAGATAGAAAATGTGTGTATTAGTGTGCTGCAAAATATAAACATGATATAAATAATATAATAAAAATATGATCTATATATTTTGCAGTAAACTGATTAACAGATTAAGTAAGAAATATTGACCCTCCCCAGAACATGTTTTTGTTTAGTCCGTAATTCGGTCATATTTTGGCTAGGAATTTGGGAATTCGACCAAACACCTGATTTGCCCAAATTTGTCAGAACTGCAGTTTGGTCCGAAACAAATCTCCAAGTCTACCTAGAACTACTGTTACATGTCATAGTGTCAGTTCCCTGTAGGATCAGTGTGACAGTATAGATACAGCACTGTTACAAGGTGTCGCAGTACCTCTTACCTTGACAGTCAATGAGTTACTGGAAGATGTGCTCACACAACTCTATGCGCTCACACAAAGTCTAAACTTGAATGTCCCAAATCAGAATAATATCTTGATGGGATTTGTATATTTTTCACCAAGTTTAACATCTGATTTGCTAGAACAAGATTTGTAAAATCTGTGAATAAAACATTGTGATCCAACCATGCCCCTCTCCCAATTCTCCGCTGATGGTTGCAGTCCATCTCATGTCGATCCCGTTAGCTACGGCTTCTCCATTAGAAACACGTATATGAAAACATCAATCAATCCACAAATCATGGAGGGAGAGTGTCTGCCGTTTAATGTCAAATACAGACTTTTATGTAAAGTGTGAAATATTTATAGACCGAGACCTGGACTTTCAGAGAGTTGGGACGTTTTAGGGCAGAAAGCTGTTGTACATTATCATCTGGAATGACACAATAAAACCACAAACATTTGACCGATGCAAAAGTCTACATGTCAGTGATCTTTCGGACGCAAAGAGTAAGTTGAGTCTATTATCCCCATGGCTACCAAAATATTTCAAAAGCAAAATGTTCAGCAGAATCTGGAGGATTGTTTTTTGGAAATATAATGTGTAAATAATTTTATCCGGCCAGTTACGAAATAATAAAGTTAAAGCACGATAACATCTTCAAAGTATTGTATTATCACACATCACTGTGTTATTACAGCTCATTGTATTATTACAGCTTATTGTATTATTACAGCTTATTGTATTATTACAGCTCATTGTGTTATTACAGCTCACTGTATTATTACAGCTCATTGTATTATTACAGCTTATTGTATTATTACAGCTCATTGTATTACTACAGTTTATTGTATTATTACAGCTCATTGTATTATTACAGCTTATTGTATTATTACAGCTCATTGTGTTATTACAGCTCATTGTATTATTACAGCTCAGTGTATTATTACAGCTTATTGTATTATTACAGCTTATTGTATTATTACAGATTATTGTATCATTACAGCTTATTGTATTATTACAGCTTATTGTACTATTACAGCTCATTGTATTATTCCTGCTTATTGTTTTATTACAGCTCATTGTATTATTGCAGCTTATTGTATCATTACAGCTTATTGTATTATTAAAGCTCATCGTATCATTACAGCTTATTGTATTATTACAGCTCATTGTATCATTACAGCTTATTGTATTATTACAGCTCAGTGTATTATTACAGCTCATTGTATCATTACAGCTTATTGTACTATTACAGCTCTTTGTGTTATTACAGCTCATTGTATCATTACAGCTTATTGTACTATTACAGCTATTTGTGTTATTACAGCTTATTGTATTATTACAGCT